TGTGCGGCGGGCTTCTTTTTGACGTCGACGGGGGATTGTTCCAGTGCGTTTTTGTTTGTTTTATTTTCAGAGGTATGTTTGCTGATGCGGAAATAGTCTGCGAGATTGGATGTACTTCGTGCGCAGACGGCACCGGCGAGTGCACGGCGTGCAAGACGGGCTTTACGCAGGATGCGAACGACAAGACCAAGTGCAACGCGCCTGCAAGCACCACGTCGTCGGGGACGGTCTGCCCACCAGGCGCATTCGCCGACGGGGCGAACTGCACCCCATGCTCGCCCTCGTGCAAGACGTGCACCGCGGGCACGTCGAACGACTGCGTCCAGTGCGCTGCGGGCACATACCTCTTCAACGGCGCCTGTGTCTCCGCAGACGCCAACGGTGTCTGCGCAGGGTCGGCGTTGATCGCGGATAATAACAAGCTCGAGTGTGACAGTACGTTCCTGGATGTAGCTGACTCGTTTTCTTCAGGCTGTGGCTCCAAGTGCACGTCGTGCAAGATCCCCAACTTTACTTCGATCTCCACGGTCAACCAACTGCAATGCACTGGCTGCGTGCCGGGATTCTTCCTATCGAATGGGAAATGCGTCGCGAACTGTCCGTCGGGCACATTCGTGTCGCCGCAGGACAACTTGACCTGTACAGGTGCGTGTTTCTCACTTGTATCGCTAACCTTTTACTAACTGCTTCCATCAGCATGCGATTCGTCGTGCACGACCTGTACCGGGTCCGCCACGTTCTGCCTGACTTGCGCTTCCAACCAGCTCGCAGCATCCGGCAAATGTGTTGCGACATGTCCCTCAAACACATTCTCGTCCTCGGGCTCATGCCTCACCTGCCACCCCGACTGCGCCAGCTGCTCCGGCGCCTCCTTCAACCAATGCTCCTCCTGCCCTTCTTCCCGGCCCGTGCTCACTAACGGCCGCTGTCTGCCGACCTGCAGCAAGACGCAGTTCTTCGACGCCACGTCTTCGTCGTGTCTCCCCTGCGACGCGAGCTGCTCCAGCTGCTCCGGCTCCGGCCCCAGCCAATGCCTCGCGTGCTCGAGCTCAACCCAAGTCCTTCGCGCGGGGACGTGCGTCGCCGCCGCCTGCCAGCAGTCCTCGAGCGTCATCCCCGGCCTCGGCGTCTGCCTCTCCGAGCTCGTCGACGTCCCCTCCTCCACCGCCCCCGGCGCCTCGCCCCTCCCCAGCGCCAGCGGCATCAGTGCGCCCACGGCCCCCTCCACCCCCCGGCGCGCGCTCGCGTGGTGGGAGATCCTCCTCATGGCGCTCGGCTGCGCGTTCATCTTCCTCGCGATCGTCTGGCTGTGGCGCCGCCGCGCACGCAAGCAGCGCGCGCAGCGCACGGCGCAGTTCGCGGCGAAGCGGCAGCTCGACCCCGTCGGATGGCGTTGGCGCCTACTGCGCTTCGGCGAGAAGCTGTTCGGGCACCGCGCGAGCCGGCGCGCGCATGCGCAGCCCGAGGGGTTGCCCCCGATTGAGGGCGAGGCGGTGAAGCTGGCGAAGATGCGCGCGGCAGAGGAGGCGACGGACGAGCGCGATATGGACAAGCTGCTGGCGAATTACGAGTACCCGCGCAGCGAGCGGTCCCGGGATAACCGCCGCCAGCACCCGCACCAGCATCACCACCACCATCTGCACTTCCAGCAGCGCGAGCACGAGCGGCAGTCGTCCGCGAGCACGCTCTCGGCGCCGTCGCTGTACTCGCAGGTGACGGGCATGCCGGCGCGCGTGCCGGACCCGAAGGAACCTGTGCGCTCCAGGCGCGATATCACCTCCCGCTTTTCTGCCAGCACGCTTGACGATTATTATCTGACGCCGACTGCCCCACTACCTAAGCCGGATGCATGGACTGGTTCCAAGAATCCGTTTTGGAGATGACCGGTGACCTTTCACGGACACACATGGACAATCAAATTTTCAACAATCAAATTTTCTGTAACTCTACGGACCACCCTCATTATCTAGCATTTGTACTTGCACCTCGCACCACATTCATTATATCATTATTTGTTTTTCTTTTCTTTTACTTGCATGTTACTTGTACGCAGTTGTGTATCATAGATGTTTCAAACAGCGTTGCTTTCCAAGTCAAAATGAGGAGTGCTTAATATGCTCCCAAAGCAGGTGGAAACATCATGGTAGGCTCGTTAAGTACTGCAATTGTCTTTGGTGGTTCGTCCAACCTTACTCTTCCAAGTTCTCACGCGCTATGCTGATCAAATTCGAACCGAGTCACTTCTCGCTGGGGTTAAAATGCTAGCTGGCTGGCCCTCTCTTCCTTTCCTCTTCCCCCCACTTCCTTCCACTCACGGACGCACGCCTTGAGGATGACAGAGCCCACACCGCTTCCGAAGCTGCAGCTGACGATCGCGGTGCTGATCCAAGCCGCTGAGGCTCTCTCAGCGTAAGTCCTTCCGCGCACAGTCATCTCCCGTGTTGATTACTGACAGGACCGTTATTTTCCCCTTCGTCCCGCAATTTGTGCGCGACACTGGGATTACCGGAGGTGACGAGCGCAAGACGGGCTACTGGGCCGGCGTGCTGGTCAAAACTCTTTCTGAATTCTAAGGACAGCGACTGATTCCGCTACTCCAGGAATCCGTGTTTTTCGTTGCCGAGTTTCTTTCGGTGTACTCCTGGGGGCGTGCATCCGACCGTTTTGGCCGCCGGCCTATCTTGCTCCTGGGGCCCTTCGGGCTGGCGATTTCGCTGGTTGGCTTCGGGTGGTCCAAGACGTTCACATCGCTCGTGGTGTTTCGGTGTGCACAGGGAGTGTTCAACGGGAATATCGGTGATTATACATTGCCTCTGAAGTACTAACATGATCATTGGGCGCTAACTCAACCCAGGTGTGGTAAAGACCGTTATGGCAGAGGTAAACACTTTTTTCAACCTGCGACGATTAATCGACGCCCGGTGGACAGATAGCAGACTCTACCAACCTCGCGCAGTCGATGGCGCTCATCCCGTTAGGATGGAGCTCAGGCTCAACTCTGGGGTCAGTTTTATCTTCCACCTAAACTGAAACCCGTGATTCGAGACTTGTTGGTGTTGGTCAGGCCCATTCTTGGCGGATTGCTCTCCAATCCCGAAGAACGATGGCCGAGTAGTTTCGGAAAGGTTGAGCTCCTACGAGAAAACCCTTATCTCCTACCGTGTGCCGTCGTCGCGCTTCTGTGCTTTTCCTTCTTCTTCCTCGGACTCGTCGGACTTAAAGAGGTGGGTGTTTATTTCGAACTCCATGGACAGGGCTTTTTTTTTTACGACCGCGCTAGTCGTCGCCTCTAATTCTAGCACGGCGAAAAGGGGAACAGCTGCGGGAGGCCGCGACCGCAGATCCTACCTTGACGACTGGGCTGATGTCCCGGGAGCCAACGACCTACGGCGCGATCGCAGGGGTTGATACTGATGAGTCAAGTACACAGGCCAGTAGTCCTGATATGGACGAGGAGCCGCCAACAGTGCGCGAGCTCCTGGTTCCACGCTTAACTATCCCTCTCATCAACTACGCTTTCTTCTGCTTCTCGCAGACCGCGTACCAAGGTACTTCCCTACATTCTCTCATGGGATATTCTGAGAGAAAGCACAGTGTTGTTTCCGCTCATGTACTCCACGAGTATCGTAAACGGCGGGCTCGGGTTCAGCCCGTACCTCATCGGCGTCACCCGTGGGCTATACGGAATCATGAATACGTTCATGCAGCTCTTCCTTGCCGCACGAATAATCCGGTACTTTGGCCCGCGGAATACGTATATCTTCGCGTTCGCCAACATGGCCATCTGCATCGGTGCTTATCCGCTGCTGAGCTTCTTTGCTCAACGTGCTCAGCGCGTCGACGCCATTGTCTGGGCGATCGTGGTTGTACAGCTATTCTCCAACCTCGTAATGGGGCTGGCATACGGTGTGTCATCTCTTTCGATAATCTGTATCCTAAAATCTAACTCTGTTGCAAAATTCAGCCTCGGTCCAGCTTTACATCGTCAACAGTGCACCGCGACCCGCCGCACTGTCATCCACGAACTCCATCGCGCAAATGGTGTCGACCATTCTGCGCGCGCTCGCACCTTTCCTCGCGTCAGCACTGTTTGCTGTGTCGTTGGAACTAAACCTTGTGGGAGGCTACATGGTGTACATATTCCTACTGGGGGTTGTCGCTGCGGGCATCTGCTCGTCGTTCCTTCTCGCCAGCGACCCCAAAAGTGCTTAGACACAAGCTTTCATCGCATATACTGTGGCATATAGAAATCAGAAACACCGCTTGCGTGGCTGCCTTTATGTCCCAAATGAGGATGGCTTCGACCGTGGCCACGGTGTATTTTTGGACAATTCAAATGTTCTTAGCTTTTTAGGTCTTCTGTGGGCCGGCCCATTGGAGATCGGGACGGTATAAAAGGAGCTTCAACGGACTAGCACTCTCTTAACACCTCCACCCCCAACTCCCTGCGATTGACACACGCCGTACTCTACACCATGCAGAGTATCCTGAAGCCAGCTGCCAATGCTACCATTACCTCAACCATTCCTTCTGCCCGTCGCGTCAAGCGGGAGGCATTTAACACAGGCCACGCTTCAAGACCAGTCTCCAAAATAGAACTCGAAATGTTCAAGGGCGAGTGGAGCATGTTCAAGGTACAAATTCAACATTCAAATGATCATTCCTGAATGCCACCTAAAGTCTTTCGCCACACCACCGCAAATTATCCTCGGCTCCACGTAAAGTGCGCTTCGGGTCGCTACTGTTTGTGAGACAGGAGCGCTCTATGGAACGGCTCTCGGCAAGGGCTGGAGTGCAGGCGGGGAGCGGATGGAGCTACTTTACGCGAAAGTGCACAATTCTTTAATTCCTTTCTTTGAGTCCAATCTAGCAATCTTATTATACATAAGCATCGTTATAGGAAGCGAGCAAGGACATTCTGTCTGTGATTGCAAGTCACACCTGCTCGCTCACAAAACAAAAATCAAAGAACAGGGACGCAAAAAACGTCACAAAATGTATTCCGGTACGGGGAGTCGAACCCCGCGCACGTGCGTTCATATTCCTGAAAAGCACATATGTTAAACCGATACACCATACCGGACATGGTGAGTAATCGGCATAGCATCCACTACGGCACCATTGTTATCTCTCGCCACCACTTCACTTGTTCAATCTAGACGGCGGGGGGGGGGGGGGGGGGGGGGAGGGAGGGAAATGTATTATACTCGCGTGGTCCACAACATGAACAACAAGTTTACCGAGGACAAACATGCAGTAGTGTACGGGCGGTTAGCCGTACATTAAATATCGCAAGATGCCAACGGAGCACACAAACATTCCAGGGTTGTTCCAGGGGGTGGTCTCTTGTAAGTTGTAGCCAGACGTGAAGCTCGTACCACACTTGTTGGAGCACCGTTAAGAATTTAACATAGTGTTCAACGACGGTCGCACCTATGAGACTCGATAGGAAGCACCGATACCACAGGCACACTCACCAGGAACACAGAGACAAGGCCGTGAGACTGACTGGCCATATTCGCAAGCCTTCGACTGCGTCAACTAGTTGCGATAACGATATTCCCCGTTTGGGCCTGATTTTTTTCGACGGGCGCCGACCTCAGCTCGCGGCATCAATAACGGGCGGTGAGTTCCGAGTCGCTGCAAAAGCCCGGGTGTTTCGTTGTCGAGGTTCGTAAAAGGAGAGGGAAATACTCACGAAGCAAGGTAAATATGAAGTCTCTCCAGAGTCTACGCGACACATATATGAGGCCTGAAACCAGAGGTGTGGGTCCAGGGAACAAATTCCAGGAAACAGGGCAAACTTGTGAGATTTACAATGCTCATCAACTTCGAATCGATATTCCCGACATATGGCGGCGATTAGAAACCATTCTTGGCTCACCCAGCTGGCAGTTCGTTGATACAGAGTGGCGAATCATATTTTTGTTGAGGCGGCGGGGTTTGGGCCGATGTCAGATACATGTTCGTCGTCAAGGCTTGAAAAAGGATTGACACGAAGAATCGCAACCATAAAAAAACACACTCTGTGCTTATAGTTAGGTCCTGGTACTTGAAAATTGAGGTTTAAACTTTGAGTTCTTTATATCCATGCCATACGATGATTTCTTCGATGAAAGTCTAAGGTTGCAAACGCGCGTCTCCGAGGAAAATCCCAACGAAACCTAAAGGTTAACAGGGGAACCAGGGTAAACGTTCAGCGCCTCAGCGACCACGATTGCTAGGGCTTTGACCGGTTCGGCGATTGAGATCGCCTAGTTGTTCCGACGCAGCTCGCGGGAACGGCGAATCACCCCCGCCAACGGACGCCGGTCGGTGGTGTGTTGCGGTCTACTCGGGATAGCTCAGGGCGCCACATATGTATCGCGGATGCTGTGGTACTGGCAAATGACCAACCTTCCGCCTGGACCGCGTCGAATGACGGTTGGAATTGACGCTAATGCAAGTATAGGAGACAACTGCGAATTTGTATGATGCTTGTGTTCTAGGGTGGCGGTTGGTCAGTACAATCTATCCAGACAGATGCAATGGGGCGCACCAATCCTCCCTCCAAGCCGTAGGGATCAACAACTAGAAGAAAATAACTGACAGATAATCAGAGACATATGGAGCTTCAGCATTCAGCTGCTCAAGCACTGCATTAATATTACCGTTGGGGCCCGTGCAGACCGAGGACTCAGTGCTCCGCTCAGGAGCCAAAATTTTCACCAGAAGCTTCGTAATGGTTGGTCGGAAGGTTGTTCTTGAACAATAAGCTCGTGGTAACCATTAGGGTCAGTCAGAGTAGAAGATTATCGGGTGATTATGGTCGGCGATTCTGGAAACGATTCCGATTTCTTGAATCGTGGGAGAATGGGTTTATTCAGAATCGTCTTCAGAATCCTGCGAGGGCGATTCTCGGTTTATATATCGGATGACTGGTGAGAATCACTTTTAAATCCATAATCACCTGTAGAATCTCCTCTGGAGGAGCTTTTACGTCGATTATGAGGGCGATTATGGGATTTAATTACCTAAAACGATTCTCGAACAGCATAATCGTCCACAGAATCACTTTTCAAATCGGGTCGGTCAGAGTTGTTCGGCGATTCTCACACGATTCTGATGCAAACAATGCACAGAATCGTTTCCATAATCACCCACAGAATCGGCCTCAGAATCGCCCATAATCACCTACTCTGACTGACCCTAATAGGAGCGACTGATTGCTCGAAATTTGATTCAGAGCCTCGAAAAAATTGCGCAAGGCACAGGACACCTGGAAAAAGGCCCAGACGTACCATTGCACAGTGGTGTACACTGTATATTTTTCTCGGTTTCACGTCGGCAGAAGGAAAGAGTCCGGCAGATCACGAGCGTGGCAAGGCGTGACCGTTTCTCCGTCTCACCAATTGGGAGTATCTGTTACACACGGTCTTCCGCACCCACCACCACCATTGACCTCCTCTAGCCTCTTGGACGACTTCAACACGCCCTCGGTGGGCCATTACATGCACAAGGGAGGGCAAATATGTACATTCTACCCGTCGCTCTTTTCGTTTGGGCCTGCTCGGTTAATGGCTATGTCGTCCGTGAAGACCGTGAGTGGAGCGCTGTCCTGGTGCATTATTCATTATTCATCTCACATTGCTACTCAGCCTCTGGGACGGCGGGCGCTGAAGCAGCGGTTGTGACCCCGTCGTTCACCTTCAATAAAATTCCCGAGATGCTGACATGCCAGCCGTCGCTAATAACCTGGCTGTACGCCTCCGCATCGGATATCGACTTCAAGGACTTGGCGTTGACCATAACAAACGTGGATGTTCCTCAGCTCTCTGCACCCTCGACAACTGCCATCGGTACATTTAGTACCCCGACACTGCAGCGACGCGACGGCGACATCACGCAGACTATTGCGTCTGCCGTTGACCCTTCGTTGCGCACATTCACCTGGTCCAACGTCGATGTGAGCCAGGGATGGTACACGATGGTCGCCACCATGGCGTCCGTTGATTTCCAACTCCAGTCCTCGGCCTTCTACGTCCAAAACGGGCCCGATGTCTCGTGCATCTCGACCTCGTCCCCAGGCTCCTCGTCCGCCCCGACCTCCTCAAGCCCGGCCGACCCCACGTCGTCGCCGCCGAGCAGCCCCACCTCCAGCGGGGACGGCTCATCGTCCTCGGGCGTGACTCTCCCCGTCACCTCGGGCGGCTCCAAGGTGAACCGCGGCGCAATAGCAGGCGGCGTGATCGGCGGCCTCGCAGTCATCGCCGCGGCCATCGCAGCGTACTTTTACCTGCGCTACGCTTCCGCGGCGTCGTCCGCCCCCGCAGGAAAGCGCGCCACGCGCAAGTGGGCCGGCCTCGGCTCCACCGACTCCAAGAACTACCCGGGTGGCTCGTCGAATAACCGCCACCACTCGCAGTCCGACTCGGTGGGGCCCATGATCTCGCACGACAGCAACGTCTATGTCATCGGCGGCGTCGGCGCCGACTCGCGCACCTCACGAATAAACTCTGTGCCCGAAGAGGATGAGTATAACCCGTACTTCTCCCCTTCGCAGGAGAAGGTTGCCTCTCCGTCCGCACGCTCGCCCTTCTCCGAATCGGGCCACGGGCACGAGGACGCCGTGCCTCTCGACGACCTTATAACGCCCCTCCCCGGAAACGCCGTCACACGCAACTCGTCCACCTCCACCTCCTCGTACATGAACAGCAACTTCAGCCGCCCGCGCTCGCACCCGGGCTCGCCGTACGGCTCCCCCACGCCCGAGGGCCCCTTCAGCGACGCCGCGCGCAACGGCACGACCTCGACGCTCAGCCACCCCGAGTCGTCCTACCCGCCCACGCCCAGCCCCGCGTTCCCCTCCGGCACCTCGCAGGCGTTCGAGCAGCCCACACCTGTGCAGCAGCGCCGCAGCTCCATCGGCGAGGCGCCCAATGCGGGGCCCACGACGCGGCGCACGCCGCGCAAGCCCGTGCCGACGTACAACCCCACGGACCCCGCGCTCGTGTCCCCGCCGCCGCCCGCGCTCTCGCCGCTGCCGTCCGAATCGGACAGCAGCCGCGAGGGCAGCATGCGCCATGGGCATGCGCCGCAGCCCAGCCTGGGGCACAAGGGGAGCTTCGGCGCGGAGGGACGGCCCGTGCACTACCTCATCCCCGACATGCCGCCGCCGCAGCGGGATTGAGGTCCTGGCTCTGCGTACTGGGTACTGTATGTGGTCTATGTCGCCCCTCCCTCCCCTACTTATTGCTTGCTTGCTTTGCCTTTGCCTTATCTTATACATCTACGCTTACGCTTACATTTCTCTGCTCATGTTCGCATGCTATTGCTATTGCTATTCGCGGTGTCGGTGTCGGTGTCGGTGTTGTTTTTACGGTGTTTTTGGATGTCCAGAATTCTTCGCGGTGTTGTTTTTGCATGTTCTTCACGCGCGGCGCTCCCTGCCAGCAGGGCCACGGGGCGTGGTGCGGTGTGGTGTGGTGTGGATATATCATCTTTTTCGCATTGATACTCAATTTTGTACCACTACATACCACGAGCACTACGGACTCTACCAGCACAATTACAATTACAATTTACTAACCACCTTTCGGGAGAGCAGGAACAAGCGTGAATGTAAACCTAAATTGGTGCTCTAGACTAGGAGATGTGCGTTGCGTTACTGGGGGTTTCTTCGCGGGAGGTTGCGGGAGGATGTCGATTAACGTCGAATGTGGCTGTGCTACACGATTCTTGATTTTGCCTCTCACCACGATTGCCTCGGAATTCTCACCCTGCGTTTGAACACTGAGGCTGTCCCAGCCAGAAGCTAGCTGCATATCTCTTGTGAAACCAAGGATTATGGGCTGTCTTGATCTCGAACGATTCTCGGCTCTAACCAGTTCTGACTGCCGAGGTGCCACTTGGAATTCTGAGGACGTCGACACCGACAGTCATCTTAGTGTTGGCTCAACAGCGATTCAATCCATCGGCGTCCTTCAGCCCCTCAGCCCAGAACACCAAAAGGCGCCCCAAGCCGAGTCGGTACTTGATCTTGACAGGCTTAGGCTGAGTGGCTCGACGCACTGCCATGAAGCTCGATATTAATCTTTCCTGAGG